AACAGCATCATGTATAGAAGCAAACATTTCTATTGGTTGATCTTCCATAAAACCACTTTGTTGTAGCGTCTTTTGCAGATATCCTACACGGCAAATATAAGACAAATATAATTGATATACAACATGTCTGAGAGTATATGCATATAAAAGAGAGTATATGATGTTTATCGCTAGTTTCCGCTGTCCGCGGAAAAACGATTAAATTACCAATTCAAGCTTGTTCATTCTTTCTTTGTACCTTTTTTCATTATTCAATCTTAATGTTAGAGCTTCTTATCATTTTTTTTTTCGTCTTTCAGCCATATTTTCCATGTTAGTTTCCATGTTAGTTTTTGCTTTAGTGTTAGCGAGCGAATCGCAGAAAGAAGACGTTAACATATACTTACTTGAGTAGTTTGCAAGGTACAGTTCTACACCAGAYACCTTAAACTCTTGTGCAATCTGAAATTTTTAACAATACCCCATGTAAGGCATTCCACAGTACCCAACGCCGCCATCTCGAAATTAAGGTGGCCGACGAGCCTACGCACCGATTAAAGAGACAAGGTATCTAGGACAACTAATAGCAGGATAGGCTATCCCTCTTAGTAAGCTTAACTGTTAACRGCAAAGCTACCTTTCAAGAAGTAGACTGGAACAGTGCTAATTTTTAAGCAAATGAAAATTCGCATCTAAATTGGACGATCTAGACTTCTTCGCATGCGCAGACGGCAGTGACACCTTTACCATAATGGCTGCAATTGTGTTTTCCCAAAATAAAATAGATATGACTAATATTTTGTCACTGCAACATCAAAGAACTATAAGAAATAAACGATTTTGGAACGTTTTAGAACTCTGGACATAATAAGAAAAAAGTTATGGTGAAATGAAAATACAAAGAAATGTATGTAATTTTCCACCAATGGCTGTCTGTCTGAACATAGTTAAACTTTTATATGTTGTTATTAGCACAGGTTCCTATCAGCTGTTAGTTTACTTTGACAGTAAAATTCTAAATTTTAAAAGTTTATGGTAATAAGATTGCGGCCATTATGATAAAGGTGTATAGTGCTTTTATTTCCCGCCTTTTGGGAGGGCCTTATGCACCACTCGGCCGGAGTGCATCAGCAACAGTAACCGTRACGACAAAATCAGATGAGAACTCTTCATCCTTATGGCGACCAGACGATTTCCACTAAAKAAATAACGCTCACATTCGGCACATCTTACCGATCTCAGAGCTTCTACACCCATAGAATCGATGAAGGTGAAAGTTGACGCGTCGATGATTACAAAATGGAGGGGTGATGACACTTGGACAAGAAATAATTTTTCTGCAGAATTTCTTTCTGAAACACTCTCTTCCTAAAAATAGTATTATATAAGTATAATTAGGGTTTGAAAACGGCTTAAAGGCCAGTTGACATAAGATAGGGCGGCCCTAGGCAGTAGGTTTTTTCTTTTCGTTTTATAAGTTCATTACGTACGATGAAGCATCGTATAGCTATATCATAAACAGTCTATTTATACACCGGCAACATGCTGTCGCATGCCCGCACTTAAAATAGCAGCACGAAGAAAAGCAACGATAAAAATGCACTCAGCGGTCATATATCAACACAATATCCATTTGGCATAATTGCAAACTTGATACAGATCCTCTTCACGTAGGTCTATCCATCTGTAAAGAATTAACACCGATGTGCAAATATGGGGTTACTGTAATAAGGGTATATATATAGTGCACACCAGGGTCGCAAAAGTCAATCACGCCCTAATTGAAACTCTTAAGGTATTTCGGCATAGGGTACTCTCAGCTAGAGTTTAATGTTTATCCCTCTTACAGCAGATATCACTGAACGAAAAAGAAAAATTKGGAAAGCCTATTTAAGGAGCGATTAACTGTCGCGGAACGTAATGGATTGTATAATACTCGAGAGGCATCTACTATAACAAATTTTGGTGTTTTTTTTTTTTTTGGATCAGCGGATTCAGCCAGCATTTTTTTAGTGCGGGTTTTCAGAGTTTTGATATTCTCAATTACGAATTTAGTGGATTGCTCAACTGAGTACTAAGAAAATGCGGATTTGAGGAGCTGGTGAATTTAGGCGACTTTTCATGTGGATTTGAATAATTTTTCTTGCCGGATATGCGGGTCCCAACATCCCCTGCTTCCGCTTAGTTTTGAAGAGAAGTATCTAGCATATAAGATCTAGATCTAGAACACATAGAAAATCTGTTTAATTAAATAACACTTAGAATTTCAATGAGATAACTATACAGTTTTGACTATTACACTTGCTCCAAGTTCAGCGACTTTGTAAATTTGCATGTCCGGAATTATTCCAATTTTCTTATTTCCGGCCGCTGGCAGAGTCTCAGGGCAAGAACGGAGGACAGATAACTCTGACTTGGGGCAATTCCAGTGCATGCATGCAGAAAACCTTTCTTTATATTACATCARTGCTGACTACAGTATTAACTAGGTTTATACTTTGCACTTTTTAAGTATCAGTTTTGATATATTGCTATCTTTCTACGTTGGCTACATATGTTTTCGTTTTTGAGCCCGTGGTCGCGCGATCTCTTAGCCGAAATACGCGGGAATAAAGCGTTATGTTCGATCATGATTCAATATGGCCGATTTAGTATTACGTGGCAAACTGAAAGAGACTGATTTCTAATTATTRAGGGTGTCGTTCCYACCTGACAGAGATGTTTTCTGTTAGTGTTTGACATATCTTCAGTAGCATGGACATCAACAGTAGTTGGTACCACCGATTCATTGTTGACGGGTTCCCTGTGTTTTATGTTCGAATGCAAAACATCTTTGAAGTATTCCACATTAGCATAGTAAAGAAACGATTCGAATCTGATGATTTTGATGCCGTAAAGCTCTTTAGCCTGCAAACAAAAAACAAACTAGTGTTTGATGCTGCTGTTGCTTTTTGTTGTCGATGCTGTTATCAGGTGCAGTGTTGGTGTCATTGTTGCTGTTTTTGCCTCCTGGTATTAACTTTGTTATTTTGCATCATTTTTTTATAATTAAGTCGGAGTCGAGAATAAAAAAAATGAGCAGGATTGCGAGCAACGAAAATAATGGCTATATAATAGGCTATCCGAACAATTTTACCATAGGTGCAGTTTGCAATTACTGTTCCTTGCATAAGAGCTTAAATTGCACTTTGAAATGCTAGTCATCAAACTGATCCTAAGAACAACACCTTTTTCTTCTATGCAAGTTAATCTTTGTTGTTTTGCATCATTAACGCATGAAGCAAGCTTCTCTAACACTGTTTTGAGTTCCTTGCTCGTTGCATGAATTCATAAACCAATGCAACTAGCTAATGCATACATACCATGGGGTTGGATTTAATATCTCTGTATATATCGGTGTTTGGAATATTTCCCAAAATTGAATACTTTGGCCTAAGCAATCAAAAAACATTAATCATTTTTACCGTGAGAACGACACGAGTCTCTGCATGAACACGGTTGGAGATACTGATTTGAGAGCAAGGTATGCAAGTTTTTAGAAGGGAGGAGAAGTTTTTTTGAGTTCTTTTTCTTCTCCAAAAGCGCTTAGATCAGAAGACGACAGAGAAATAATCGGTCGATGTCTCTGACCCTCTGTCATTAGCCAATAAGAGAGCGCGTTATAATTCTATTGATCACTTACTTTGAAGATAGTAAAATAACGCGCATAAAAGCAGCGATTATGCCACACCCAAGTCCAATGTCAATTCCAAGTAAAATCACTCCAAAACATGTTATACACCAAATTATCTAATAAAATTAACGTGTGGGTTAGTAAATGTAAGACTTCTTTGCATAGTACGTAGTTCTCAGACTACTATTGGATTTCCTGTGGTAAATAAGGCTAAGGGAAAACAACAAGAAAAGAAAAAGACCCTAAACCATTTTCATACCTAGAAATCTAGCTTGATTTTTATAGGGTATAGAAACCCTGTATAACATTCAGGTATTCACTGATTTTGTCGAGCTTTCTTGTCCGTTCTCTTTGAATGCACCATTCACGTGGCTTTGCTTAATGAAGAAACCTTTCTCTAAAATGCCAGCAATTTTTTTACAATTTTCTTCTCCGAAGATACTTAAGTATATTTTTTATTCAAAAACTGCGTGTGTAAAACGTCAAGCAAATTCCAATGAAAAACCATAGACGTCAGGTCAAATTATCCCCATTAGACCGCGTATAAGGCTCTCTCGAAGGGGATTGGTGCGCCGGGAGTCACTCCGCCCAAATCCTCCTCGAGCGAGAGTCAATCGGCTATATTACATGACATTATCTTTTATTCTTTTTTTTCTCTCTCAATTTTTCATACCAACAACAGAGAATTAATGCCCAAACTGGAAGTTATATTACGTCAGTTTATTGTTACGATCAGTTGTAATGTTCATATCTTGTAATTATTTTCTATTTCATTTTAGTGTCAAAGAGTAGCTAGGAGAGTTTGTTACTTACTGCATCAGTTTTACATATGGTCCACAGATGTTTCACTGTAGCGAACTGCTTCAGAAGTCCCAGCAGGTTTGCAATAACGATTGCTGCTAGAACAGCCTGGTAACAGAAATCTTAAGGGGTTAGCACTGGATTGAAAATCGTGAAAATCATTGATGGAAACCAAAAATCTCAGTTAGAGGTTTAAATTCTTGAGCACTGGAAAAATTGATCGCGCACTTCTAAAGGTTGTAAATTTGATGTTAATATGATGTAAGTGTCCAAAATGATGTAAATTTGAGGTGATATAAATTTGAAGTGATCGATTTGGTGTATTGGTACGAGTAGTGATCGATCCTCTTTTTTTAAAGAATAATCATTAAAACTGTTTTCTTAGACGGTATTCACGACTTTTAAAACACTACRAAAGTTTTTAAAGATACGTAAAGATAGTATTCTGTACTGCCTTTTGTATACTTTTGTATATGCAGTCTGATTACTATTATTTTATAATTCAAAAAATTTTCGTCTGCTCTCATTGGTCGAGAGTCGACCGCGTGACGCGAGATGCCACCTTCAGAAAATTTTTAGAGCAGTTCAAATCTCAGGCATTTTGCTGTGATAGTTGCCCTTGGAAACTGAATGTTCCTCAAAATATCTTAGGCCCGTTTCAGACGTCGATCATTTGCCGCGTCTAATCTAATTGCTCGCATATAGTTCACGAGAAGTTTCCAGTCTACATCGATTGATATTTGCAGATTATAATARGTTTGTCCAACTGAACAAAATCTGCCAATGTCAATGAATTCAGAGTACAAAATGTTCATAAACTCAACTCCAGCAATTAGATTAGACGCGACAAAAGATCGACGTCTGAAACGGGCCTTAGTTGCCTCGAATTGGGTTCTCGCGCGAGCGACTATTTGTTATTCGGAACATCCAGTTTAATTTCGTGGGCAACTATCACAGCATAAAGCCCTCTATTCAATTACTCCTTTGTTTACCTAAGCCTATAGTTAAGATATTGACAGGGATACAACCAGAAATTTGGAAGGAGGACACTTATTGACTATTCTTAACTTACCTTGGGCAAATAAAAGAATAACTGCGCAAAAAATAACAGAACCAAAAGTAAAACAGCTATGACGGGAACACTTGAAAGCTGAGTACGTGCAAGATTGGCCTTAACAACGACTCTTGCAATAGCAACTGACGCAGGAAATCCAGAGAGAAATGATAAAACCACATTGCACACGCCGTATGCAAACAGCTCCTGTCAAAAGAGATAGAGATTTGTTGCACATTGTTGTTGTTGTTGTTTTTGGTTCAGAAACCCGTTAAATTGATTCAAAGTCTTATTCATGTTTCAAGATTCCCAAGTTATTTCCTTTTCAATGAAAAATTAACACTTAATAAAACGGAATACGCTCCGGCCATTTTGCTTGTTTTGTTCATAAATACCTGATTTGAGTCAACTTTCTGCTTATTTTTCTTGGCGAACAATTTTGCTACTGAGATGTTGGTTGCAAAGATGACAATTGCAATTTTAAAAGCATCAGAAAATATGTTGCTCATCAAATTAAAAGAAGGAATGCTGACTGGAGGCATTCTGAAACGAAAAAATAATTAACGGCCTTTGTGAAACACTACAGTAATCATCATAAGCGCCGGCCGCGTGCGCCACTGATTTTCGCGCGCTTTTCCAGAAATTCGGAGGCCCGCAATTTTCTATGGTCCACAGTATACTAACCCTGTAGGGATATCTTTCACTATTTGTACGTCAAATTTAGCGTTTAACTGTCCTCCATATGAAATACCTGTACTCAAAATAACCTGATTGGATAAAAAAGTGTAAGTGGTCCAGTGTTGATGAAACTTTTTACTTGWGCCTCTTTTTCAAACACAGGCATATATACAAGTCTCCTCGCAGCCACAGGGAGCCCGTCACTAAGAACGGCTGCGAGGAGACTAACCAAGTAAAAGAAAAAACGATTATTCATTTGATAATTTATCTGTATACGTACCACCAATAATTCTGCAGGTAAAGGAATAGGTAGTCTCTTACTATATCGCTCATTAACGTACTTCAGGCCTATAAGTATGGCAATGCATAACATTCCAGTGATAAGAGAGCCAATGTTGGTATTAGTAATAGTTTTCAGCATGGAGACTACTGTCTACAATAAAACGAAGTATTTCAATGAAACAGAGTCAATTTGGTATGAGTGGGAAACGGAAGGTACAGTACTGTAACCGTAATCGTAGTGTAACCAAATTCTATAGTGTCTCATTGCTTTACAAAATTGTGCAGGCCAGGTCCGGTAACTGTGCAGTAATCCGCGTGCGGTAATTTCTACCGTACGTTTCCCACTCATACGAAATTGACTCTATAGTCTATTTCTGTGTAATGCTATAAAGCAACTGCAATTATAGTAATTGAAAGATTGAAATATACAGCTGCGTCTTGTGCCATTATGCAGTACAAGTCCAATAAAGTGCGCGCACAATGCCATAATATACGGTGATCTCTGCTGCAATAACATCCATATAGTATCTCCGCAGCATTATCCTGTCCCAGAAGTTTTCAAATACTTTTTCCCGATGTTGTTAGTTAAAACTAAACTAGCAAAAATACAGGGCAAAAATGCGAAAAGTCATCAAGAAAATTGAAAATTATAAAAAGAAGAAAAACCTCTGGGTATCATGAGGGCGAAAGCAAAATGCACCATGATTAATGCATTTGAAGTTCTTAGAGAAGTGTACCCAAGATAAATCATTACCCTAGGCTACCCTAGACGTACACGCCTCTCATCCAATCAAAACCAAGAAAACCCTTGACAGTCTCTTACCTTAATAACTGAGAAAAATCCCGAGTAACGAGGGACACTTAGACCAAAGATAGGTTTTAATTGACTCGTGATAATAACGACTGCAGCTCCAGTGGTAAACGCACTGATAACCGGATCAGATAGGAATCGAGTTATAACGCCGAGCTGTAAGATGCTCATGCCAGCCTAGAACGTTCACCAAAATAGAAAAAGCACTAAAAACTGAATGACAACAACTCATACATACCAATATATGTAAGATTTTTAAAAGCTACAATTTTCTCAGATGAACTGCCTCGCGTTTCACTGTTTACAAGTGTTTTTCAAGTCAATAATTTCATTTGCAGCTCATTTCATATGGCCAAAACCGAGACAATTTGCTGAGATAATTGGTTTAAAACGTAGCTTATTCTATAACTGTATTCAATATGATTCTTTCTACGACATTAAAACACCAAAAAACGAAAGTAAGCAATACCTGTATAACACCTACGAGAAAAGCCAGGGATACTGCGATTTCAACTTTCTTTGCTTCAACTGGACTCCATACGCTTTCAACGAGGGTTGGGTCAGTGGTATTGTGGTATGCAATTGCCTCGTATCCACTTAATTTGGAAGCTTCTCTGTTTACAACTTCCGCAACCATCATACAAACGACTGGGAAAGCACCTTAAATAGATACATTAAAGTATAGTTAAAAAGCAGAGTACGTTTTAACACTTAAACGATCGGTCCCTAAGGCATGGATAGTGCACTAGTCAATTGAAACCCCCGCCCCCGGGGAATACCGGGGAATTTAACGTTTGAGTGGTGTTAAAATAAGACATTTCCCCCGGTAGTCGGGGCACATTCATTRYTAAAATCCCYGCTDCTGTTKSCCCGCTATTTTGGTCTAGTAGTAAATAACAAAACAAACACCTTTCAATCAAATTTTCTTAATCCTGTGTATTCATTTGCGTACTATACATGTGGCTAACTGGACGGAGAAAAACATGTGTAATAAGTTTCTTTTTAAAAAACTTCATGCAAGGAAAAATAAACAAATAAAAAGGCGGGGTTGAAGACCAATGCCTTCAGGGTATTTCTCAAGATGGCGAACGTCTAGTTTCCAGCGTTAAAATCCCCGCTCTTTGCCCCGCTTCGAAACCAATTCATCAAAATCCCGATCCCCCGGGACAATCTTGCTGTTAAAAGCACGTCAAAAACGCGTCACGTCCGCGTTCAGTGCCCCGCTAGCCCCGGGGGTCGGGGAGGGGGGGGGGGGTGTTTCAATTGACTAGTGCATAAACTCGTACTACATTGCAGTGTACTAAAAGGCGAATTTAGATCAACCGATATAATTGTAGTTGTTGTTACAACTGCGCAATTTTCACCGTTGTTAAACGAAATTGCACAATGTAAAAGGAGTCGTCTGCGCGGCTTAGCTTTGAACTTTTTGCAAGACATTAATACAACTTGGTGTATCATATCAGCTGTAGCTTTTCCCATATATTTGAGTCAGTGAACGCTTTTAGAGCATGCGAAATTTCTCATTTTGAATAACGGATGAAAATTGCAAAATATATGTAAAGGAGCTATATGAGTATATGGTCGAGCGAATTTGTAGCTGACGCGRTTGAACAGTTCTCAATATTTGATAAAATTTTGTCGGACGAGTGCATATACACGAAACCTAGAGTCAYAGAGAATCATGCGTGTCTTATCGATAGTTCACCTATTGTTACGTCCCTATATATAATTTTCTCGGCGCATGTTCTCAAGATTCTGAGAAAATTCCACAGYGTTACAACACCGTCAACCTAGCAAACTAATTTAGTCAAATGTTGTGTCCAATGCGTCAAACAGCAGCTGAGAAGCACAAAGAGAAGAGGTATCCAAGCATTCAACTCCGCAGTTTGTTACTGACTGATCAAAACATCATGACAAACCTAATTGAATTCCTTCTTGAACTCAAGCGTTTTACCTTTAGACAAATATCTAGAAGTGCCTAAAAACATGTAAATGATAACTGGAATAAGAGATGTGTAGAGCCCAGTCACCGGCGGTAAGGATGCCAACATCGCGAAAGCAAGACCTGAAATTATAATTATAAAAAAAAATCAAAAAAAAAAATGTGATAATCATTATGAAAAAGAAAGTGCTCATAAACTGAAATAAACTATTTGATTTAAAATCGATGTAAGACAKTTTTTTAGCAAAATGTTTATCCCTTCCATTACTACCTTGAGGTATATGCATAACACCAATAGTAAGACCAGCGATAAGATCCACGAGCAAGTCTTGTTTTATGTTATACTTTAGCAGCCAGTCGATTATAGGAATTCGCCTTYGAAGCCAGTCCGTTTTTTGACCATGACAACAATCAAGCCAACGTTCTAGAATAGTTTTGATACGTTCGCGAAAGATCTTTTGTTGAGGGTCCATTTTGTCTSTTGAGGTGAAGCAATGTTCTGTAAGTGTCCTTTCTGAAAAGACGGGTCGTGAAACTTTGTAGAAATATTCATTTTGATCGTCCTGGTGCCTTGCCATCGGCTATCAGCTGACTGTTGTCGGTGAAACTTGTCGAAATTTAAATAATATCTTGACCAGAATTAAATCTTGAAAATCAAAATAAAACGTGGTTTTTATCGTCGGGATATTTGTGTGATATATGTAGTTTCGGGCAATATTGGCTTAAGTCAGCCGGGCATAGATTCCGGGTTGCAAGTCCATCATTCAGTCTCCGTCGCACTCGTTATTGTGCCGGCTTTCCTGTCCAAACGGCTGCGATCCGACTCGCCTCGGAGACGGCGGGTTGCGACGGCTGCAAAGGAGGTCTTTSATTACTGATAATCTATTGTAATTTTAACAAAGCTGCGTACTCAGAAATCCAAAATTAAACGTTTTCATAAACAAACACACACAAAATTACTCATTAGAAACACAGTAGTCTAGGTTACATCATGTTATGCAAATATTATTTTGCATTGTTAATCATTTATTTCTATTGACGACTAGAAGGTGAAAACACACAAAAAAAAGAGAGAAAAAAAGAAAAAGAAAAAAAGTTCAACTGATTACTTGGAGCGGATGTTATGAATCTATATTACGTGACTGAAGTGACAAAATGAAAAATTCATGACATTTAGATTTATAACAAAATTKATCTCAGTTTTTGCACAGCTCTTCATCGGATTTTGTTTTTGTAGATCTGTAGAAGCAGCTGCTTCAGGAATATAATTCGCAACGAGGAAGAATATCATGATAGATTATACAACATAAAATCATCTTATTTAACATGATTTATAATTGGTAGTCGATAMGCGGACACGAAAACCCACCTGCATTATTTCATTTATCTATCCGTGGACTTTATGTTTATGAATGTTTTTTTGTTTCCAGTATAATCAGTTGAGTAACAATTCAAACTCCGACATCTTCTGCGTCCAAAGTCCTCAATCAGTCAAATACGATACTGAAGAGTCTTTTTGAAGATARTGGAAGTGACAAGGGAAGTTGACAGATTGAAGAGTATTCGTCAAACTGGAAACTTTTGTACAAATTTAGAGTGCTAAGCATTTCTTTCTTAAGAGCAATTTATCATGCAAACCTAAACCGAAACCTATGTCTACATGCATTTTGGACTTCGCTTTTAAACCCCGTTCAGAGTCCTCAACGCTCGCACCGGGGGGGCCGATTTAGCTTTTTTGTGACTACTTTCCATCTCAAAAAATGTTTTATCCGATATAATTACCTATGTAACTATTTTTCTCCATTATATAAAGTTGCTAAAATAACACATTCGTGGAATCTTTATATATTGTAGGCAAATAAAAGTTATTTTAAAACATCATTTGAATTTTATCTTCGCTACGCTCGCTCTTGAGAGATCTTTTGAAAACTCGAAGACAAAATCCGTATATCTCCGCGCACCCATGTAATCATCCTCTATATATTAAATATCGAGCCTTCTAGCAGGCTCTCCTTTTTCCGCTCGTTCCCCCTCCCCTTCCGTTTTCCCCTCCCCCCTCCACTAGAGCCGCTACGGAGGCTAATTTTACTGAGAAATGTGTGTATTGGTAATACAAACGCAAGCCAACAGTTACAAGTTTCATGACATAACCTCGATATTTTATTTCATCTTTGCGGAAAATTAGAGAGAAATAAGTGTAATATATCCGTACMAGCAACTAATGCTTGTTACGTTGTTATTCTTTAGACACTTGACTGACAGGAAAAAAAAAACATTGAATCTATATTACTTCTAGCGGAAACACTCGACCAGCGACTCCAAACATTTCTAAAATTTTGATTCTTCCTTCCTGTTTTTATCTACGCAATGTTTCTATCCTAAAGCACTTAAATAAGACTGACTGGAACGAGTTGAAGCAATTTTTTTCTTTACTTTTTTTTGCCGACGAAAATTCCTTATGATTTTAACCATCCCAAATGAGGTTGTTATCTTCATAGCATGGATGTTTCTATTTCAAAATTCAGCCCAAGTATGCTCTCTATTATACACTCTTTGAAATTTTTTTTCAGCTTATTCGAAAGCTTTCACAGAATTTTAACTGCCATATTGGACCACCAAATCTGTCGAAGTTTTCTCTTCCCATAACTTTAACAAGCTCGTCCTGCAACCCGAAAAAAAATATAAAAAAAAAAACTTGAAGTTACCTAACAGTCCACCATCAAACTAACAACCATCTAACCCACCACCCATCCACCAAAAAAAGCCAACAAAACCAATCAACCAACCAGCCAACTATTCAACTGCAACCAATCCATCATCTGACAACCCATCTAATCACCCAACCACCAACTAACCAATCAGATAACCACCCACCCACCAACCCAACTAACAAACCATCATCCCACCCACCATCCACAAGTAACCCATTTCATTCTTTCCTGTTCTTATTTCAGGCATTTTTTTTTTTCATTTTGTTTTCACGCTATTTTCTTTAACTCGACTCAACCAACCATTTAACAATCCATCATCCAAATGAACCAATAATCCAACCACCAAACGACCCAACCAACCAACCAACCAACCAACTACCTAACGACCCGTCATYCAAGCAACCAACTACCTAACGATCCATCAACCAACCAACCAACCACTTAACGACCCATCGCATAGCCAATCAACCACCTAACAACCCCAACCACCTAACAACCCATCATCCAACCAACCAACCACTTAACGGCCCATCATCCAACCAACCATCCAACTAACGACCCATCATCCAACCAACCAATCAACCARCTAACGACCCATCATCCAACCAACCAACCACTTAACGACCGATCATCCAACCAACCAACCACCTAACGACCGATCATCCAACCAACCAACCACCTAACGACCCATCATCCAACCAACCACTTAACGACCCATCATCCAACCAACTRCCTAACGATCCATCAACTGACCATCCACCCACAGTGATACGTAAACTCACCTCAACAGAATCTTCAGGAACACTGTCGATGATGCTGTAGGCACGAYGCAACATTTCCTCTCCTATGCCATGTAAACACTCTCTGCATTTAAACAAGACAATTTGTAAACAACCTTTGTTCTATTAATGTCTCTTAACAATGGACAAATAAGATAMTGACAATGAACAGAAATTCTCGTGRCGATGCTGTATAGCATCGATATTCCTTAGTTCTATTTTGTTTGTACAAAGAAATCCAATCTCCTCTGCTTTTAGCAACCTTTTCTATTTCTCCCCAGGTCTTTCCTATTTAAAGCCGGGTGATCACCACTGATGTTCCAGCTAAGTATAATATCTTGATTATCTTGGTTTCTGGTTTCCGTAACTAAGTGTGTTTTTATGGTGTGGGGAAGTTAACCCCACGACCAACCCCCAACCTGGAGGACCAGGGGACCATTCTTTGTCAGGCCCCTWCCCTTTGACCTGTCCGGCTTSGACAAGTRGCATGGAGTACACAAAATTGCGATAGAATAAGTTTGCTGACAATAGTACAAGCTACGTAAAGTAGAACACGTATAGTAAAACACGGCACTTACAGCTTTAAACGTTCAATGCGATCACGAAGTCTACCTGACATAGTTGGAGAAGCACCTAGCAGAGGGAACAACATTAAGAGACAATTATGAAAGCATGCACTTTAAAACAATAACAAAGTCGACAAAAGATGGAGATAGCAGCCGCAATGACGAGCAAGACGGAGAGAAGAAAAAAACTACAACATCAACAGCAGCAAGAACACCAGAAATGGTATCAAGAACAACGTCAACAACAGCAGCATGTGCAGCTCGTACACCACCACCACCAGAAATGGCAGCGCAAACAACATCAACAACACAAGCATGAACAACAACAGCAACACAAGAAATGGTAGCAAGAACATAAACGACAAAATGATAACCAACTACACCAACAACAACATCAACAGTAGTGACTTTTGCAGTTTGTACACCACCACCACCACCAGCAGTTACACCAGAAATGGTAGCAAGAACACCAACAGCATGGCCAACAACTACACAAACAACAACATCAACACCAGCAACAAATCGCGACTTTTCAATTTTCAATTGATGCCAACATCATGACAACAATAGTAAAAATACACAGTCAAAGACTGCATGTGGCTAGTGCCTTATACTAAAAGCAGGATTTTTTTAAATTAAATGCAGTATTTGTAGCGAAAATTGTTTGGTTTTGTCATTAATGAAGCCTTGTCATTGTGGCCTTGTCATTGTGTCTCAATCTCTTAGGCACTAGCCACAAAAACAAGTAAAAATTATTAGATCTGTGGGTTTAATTACCACTTGGTATTAGAATTTCAGCTTTATCCATRAGATCATCTTCGATTTCTGGAGATACACGGTCGACGGACAAATCRTCCAGTTTTAACGTCGAGTCTAGAGCTGATATCAGAGAACTGACCTCACTTTGACGTCTCCTGTAGTAACACCAGGAAATACCATTAATCATGTTATAACATCGTTGTTTAACACCTTTATTGAAGAATACAGGAAATCCAAGAGTAAACAAAAAGAGCGGAAAGGAAGAGAGACTCCATCGGAGTCCATTTCATACTTCATTTGACTATTTACAACATTACATTTCCTTTCTTTGCAGATTGTATTTATTTTTCAGGGTTACCTGGACGGTTCTGACGAAGGTTCATCARCAGCTGTACTAACTTCCTCGAGATCTGAACCAGATTCATCACTACCTGATTCCTGTCATGAAATATAGTGAAGGCCACAATTATTCCCATAATTTACCAGTGCCATCGTTGTTTCAATWATCTATAGAGCGGATTTCGTATGACTGTGCAAAAAACACGGTACTTTCGCGCTGTGAYCGTACCGTGCCGTAGCGSTGATGTWTTGTTAAATCTATATTTTCATTTGGAATCCTAGAAGGCGAGGTTCCGTGATTCTTAACCTGTRAAGCCGCTCTATGGGAGGGAGAGGGAGGACAGAAAGGGAGGACAGAAAGGGAGGACAGGGARGGGGRTATGAATCTGGATATATCTGGTGTCAAATACTGCATTTATATACCATTTCTCGCCGGGGCTTTCTTGGAGGACCGTCAACACAATCCAGTTCTTGCGGTTTCTTGGCAATTTGRCGAGGTTTTKGGACACCAACAGCTAAACAATAAAACAACCTCATTGTTAGTAGTAAACCCGGCAATGTCTAACGCTGATTGATAAGTGCGTTATGTACTTATTAAACGAACGTTATTCAGTTGAATAATTGCTCTGCATTCATTTTGTCATCAAAATAATACTTAGAATTAGATAAGAAATGGTGCTCACAGAAACATCCAAGTGTTTTTGGGGAACACATAGTAAAAAGCTTGAAAAAAAAYATATTTATTTTTTTC